GGGTTTTAAGGGCTGTAAAAGAGGACTATGACCTATAAAAATGAATTTCTCCCAGGGGCACCTGGGTGGCTCAGATGGTTAAGCGTCTGCCTTCAGCTCGGGTCATGATCCCAGGGTCCTGGGATCGAGCCTCACATCGGGCTCCTGGCTCAGCGGGGAGCCTGCTTCTCCCTCTCCCTCTGCCTCTCTCCCTGCTCATGCTCGCTCGCTCGCTCTCTGTATCTCTGTGTCTCAAATGAATAAATAAAATCTTTAAAAAAAAAAAATGAATTTCTCCCAGAAAAAGATTTGTCCTGCTGTTTTATTCCTGCATGCTCATTACTGTCATCAGTTCTATCCACAGCTTCTATTGGCTCCAGCTAGTGGGAGTGAATTTCCCTTGGCTCCCTCCTTCCCTAGTTAGAATCCTTTTTACCTCCATCCCAGGTGCAGGTTTGAGAGATGGTGTTCTTTCCACTTCTGTACGGCTTTTGAGGAAAGACAGAGAGCTGTTGCACATATAGATTTGCTGGCCTGGTTGATGAGGTTTTCTCCCCCTTTTGAAATTTGATTAAATGTTTTTGGGGGGTGTTTTCTTTTGGTTTGGTTTGGTTTTTCTTTGCTAGCATTCACTCCACCAAGCCAAGCTGTCTTATTCCCAGGAGAAGATAGTCTCTGCTTTGGGCTTTTCACCGACTTCATTTTAGAGCTCCGGGAAATGGGGAGCCTTGGACGTTTTTCCTGATTCTACTGAAACCCTCAGACCTTCTGAGCGATGAGCCAGGATTGCCAATCTCAAACTGAGATTTTCCTCTCAGCATTACACTTTAACTCTCATAGACTCTGACACGTGGTTATTTTCATTATTGTTATTTTTCAGAGCTCCTGTCTTTTCTCACTGTATGTCACCATTCACCCAAGAATTATTTAATTGAAGGCTTTTTGTGTGTGATCAATGTTTGTAATAGCTTCATTTTGTAGAACTTACTGATATCTTCTTTGTAACTCAGTATGTGATCAATTTTGGGAATGTTACATATATAATTGAGAAAAAAGATAGATTCTCTGTTATCAGGGTGTGGTATTTAATAAATATACATGAGATCTGCTTTATTGATTATAATGTCTCAATAGTCTATGTTTTTGCTTCTTTTGGCCTGTCTTGCATGACAAGGGTTGTATAGAAGTCTTTTACTATTTTTCTCATTCATCACCTTACAAGCCTTACATCTCATGTTATAGTTTCCGTCTTATTTAAGTGGTACATACATCTTCATAATTGTTATATCTTCATTAGGATTTATGTATCCTTGGCTTGATCAAATGCCCCTTTTTGTCTTGTTTACTGCATTGTGCCCTAAATCATATTGTCTGATAATAAGAGTCCGGCCCCTACTCTCTTATGGTTTCCATATACCTGGCATGCTTATAATTGATGTATTTTTCACTATTTGAAACAAAACTAAATTTTATCATAGACTTAAGCTTTGCTTTATGAGCCAGTCTTAAAGTCTTTCTAAAGATAGGCTAGCTAAACCTAGTTATATTAACTGATAGAGATAAGTTTGATTGCAACTCTACATTTTGTCTTGTAATTATTGTGTATATTTATTATATGTCTTTTTCCTTTTGGTGTCTTTGATTTGAAAAAAAATTCTGTAATTAAGAAAGATTTGTATCTTTGTTTTCATGATTTCCTTTTTATTTATACCATTTATAATTCTTGTTCTTACTTCACCATTTACTATCTGGTTTGCTAATTTTAAATTGCATCCTTTGTTACCTACCTATTACCTATACAGAAATCAATAATCTCACTCTACTTTCCCCTTTCTCTCCCTTCTGCCTCCATCTATTTTTAGTTTTATTCTTAATACTGTCATAATACATAACAAATGCTGTTCTCCCACCCACCTGTGTCCTCACTCCTGCTTTAGCCTTAGCTCTACAGTTAAATACGTTAAATACTCACTCTCAGTCCTTGTGCTGAAATTTCTCTATCTCTTTGGTTTGATGAAATGCATCCCTGGTGTATTTCTCAGAGAATCAATTTTTGTATAGAATTCCTGAGTTTTTCTATGCTTAAAACTATAGGCTTCATACTTCAAAGATAGTTGAACTGTATATAAAATCCTTGGCTTGCATTTTATTTTCTTGAGTTTCTTGAGAGTAAAGCTCACATCTAACTGCTGTGAAGTATCTACAATTGTTGGTTGCTAAACTATTACGATGTAATTATATCCAGAAGATTTGTGTTTCAGTGTAGAGGACGGTTTCCTGTGTTTTTGGACCTTGGTTATTGGTATTGATAGAGATTTCTCTACATGTCTGGGTACATCCAGGCATAAAAAGTTAAATTAATTTAATCAAACACTTGATCCAGGAAAGAAATTCATCAAAATAGCACGTCCCCGAAATGTGACAAAATTCAATCAAAAGGATTAAATCACTACCATCTAATATATTTACGATTTTGCACATAATGCTTTTGTTACTTTAGTTTCCTCTCAAAGATTACTCAACTATAGTCTGTATTCTATATTTTGTCTACGTGCATGCATGAAGTCAAAACTATTTTTTAAAATATACTAAGATATTATTTACCTTTTCACTGTGTTGCCATTTGCATTGATAATGCAAAAGCAATGATGCAGTAAACTGCTGGGGACTTAGCACAAGGTAAGGCAGTGACACCAAACTATATTAGTAGTCACTGTATTTATTTTTTTTAACTGCCACTCACTTATAAGGAAAATGTCAGTTTCATTTAAGACTGTCCTTAACGAGGAAGTTAAAATTATTGTTATTAAGCCTAGACCCTTAAGTACATGTCTTTCTAATTCTGTGTGATGAAATGAGAAATATACCTAAAGCACTTTGCTGCCTGCCAAATTGTGATAGTCGACTTGAGGAAACCTGTTTGTGTAATTTTTTTTCGAGTTGCAAGCTGAGCTAGCCTATTTAATAAGAAGTGTAATTTCTGCTAAAAAGAATAACTGATAAACAAATGCTACTTATTCTCAACAATTAACAAAATGAACTTGTCACTTTATGAAAAACAAGTGACGCTAGTTGTCAGTGATGAAATTCGGCTTTTAAATAAAAATAGAACTTTGGAAAACTTGCCTTCCTGAGCTTGGAGGCTTCTCAATATTCAAAGACCTTTTTGATTATATTGGTGGTGATATTAACGCATGTGCTTTAAATATTTTATGAAATGTGTCAACAAGACCTGCTTAACTCAGTGAACCAGTATTTTCCAAAATGAACAACATGCTGTTACCAAGACGGGCATAGTTAAAAGATCCATTCAAAATGCAAGATTAAAAAAAAAAAAATGCAGGATAGACCGATATATTTTAAAGTAACAGTTCAAAAGTCCATTGATATGATTTCAGATTCCAGAAATTACCACTTGTCAAATTTTAATTATCTAACATTATCTAAAGAGGATATTAAAATACTTCTCCCTTTTCCAACTATTTGTATGAGACTGGACTTTCTTCATACATTTCAACTAAAACAAGAAATTGAATTGGATTTAATATAGAAACAGGTATGAGAATCCAGCTGTCCTTTATTAAGCAAAACATTAATGAAATTTGAAAAAAATATGAAACAGCTTTCCTCACTATATATTTTTGTTCTGGAAAATATGGTTATTTTTCATTAAAATATTTATTTATAAGTAGATTATTGTCATTTTAATGGAATCAATAAGTATTCTAGAATATCTAACTTTGTGTTTTAATTAGAAATGTTAAATTTCTAATATTGATAGCTATAATACACACAATTGTTCTTTGAGGACCCTCCATTTTTTTTAAGAGTGTAAAGAAGTCTGAAACCAAGATGTCTGAGAACAAGTGATCTTTATCCAAACTTAGAAACCTTCAGTAGGTTCCTATTGTCCTAAATATAAAAACCAAATTCTTAACATGGTGCCAATTAACAATATGTCATAATCACATGAACATATATTTAGTTCCTCAGTCCCATGATGTTCCCTCCTGTGAGCATACTGTTCCTTCTCTGTAGCATGTTCTTAATCCATTTCAACTAGTTAACTCTCATCCTTCGGGTTTCAGCTCAAGCAATACTTCCGCAGGCTCTCTTGGAACCACCCTCTTGTATTTCATTACCTTTTCTCTTTTTCTAATTTTACATTTATTGGTGAAAATAATTCGTTAAGGCTTTCTTCCCAATAGGTGGAAAAACCATAAAACTGATAAGCATGTGTGTTTTGGCTCACCATTGTACCCATTCTTCCTAACAGTGCTTATCACAGTGTAGGGTGGGAAATAAAATACTTGTTGGTGATTGGAGAAGTGGATGCAAATATGAACTGACAGAGGCAAGGGTGAATCATTAAAGAACATGACGTAGCATGAATAGCTTCTTCAGTGATACAAAGATCCAAGATAAACGCTTGAAAGAAATACACTGGATTAATTTAAGTCTCTCATGGTATTTTCCCTTGTGCAGTTTCACTACTACATATTCTTGTTGGCTATTCTTTCATACAGGAAAAGAAAGGAAGTAGAAAGAACATATAACAACATCTAGTTGTGATAGCAAATGTTCTTGCGCAAGCCTGGTAATGAGCAATTGTTAGCAAACAACTCTTGTATTTCACATGACTGATTTCCTACAGATTAAATTAATATTGTATTATTTTTATGGATATCTGTCTTCTTGGGGTCTCATCTGTTTCCTCTTTTGGCCTAATAATCTGCAGTGAAGTAATACTTATCGACTTGCACTCCTTCCATACCTCCCTTTTTACTAGCTTTTCGTTATATTAACACACTTTGTTGTAAGTGTGTAATTTATCAGTCTCCCCAAGAGATATTATACTCCTTAAGGGCTCGGACCATATTTTATTCATCTGTGTATCCACAGGATACAGTAAGGTGTTCAACACTTGAGAAGCAATAAACAAATGTAAGAATGAATTTCTGAATTAAACATTTAATAGATGACATTTCATATTCCTTAACATTTTTATTAAATTCTTCCAGTCAAAACTCAGGTAATGGGTGAAATCAAGATTGCACTGAAGAAGGAAATGAAGACAGATGGTGAACAACTAATAGTTGAGATTCTCCAGTGCAGAAATATCACCTACAAATTTAAATCTCCCGATCACTTACCAGGTATCTAATTTTATGATAATGAGCAGTGTCATACATCTCGGAATTCTGTAGGGATATGTCCTAAATAATCTGGAAAATGTAGAGTAAAATTGGGGCTGTACCCGAAACACATCTGAAAATTGAAAAATAAGAATTAATTTCTCTTACATAGAAATAAGTTGATATTTTACTAGTTTTTAGCTAAATTTTCTCAACACATAATATTAGAGTACTGTGTTTACCATACAACAGGAAAACTGAATTGCTAAGAAAGTTGGTGTATCTTTTAATCACTTTATGTTGTCTGAAACAAGTCGAGCACAGCCTGCTAGCTTCGTGTAAAACATACAAGAGCTCTCAGTGTACAATTGTAATTCTTTCAACAGAAAATTGTATGAGTCATGGACACTTTACAAGCCGAATTCTTATTTTCAGATTTATATGTAAAAATATATGTGATGAACATCTCTACCCAGAAAAAGGTGATCAAGAAAAAAACGAGAGTATGCCGACATGATAGAGAGCCTTCATTCAATGAAACTTTTAGATTCAGCCTCAGTCCTGCTGGACATTCTCTTCAGGTAATTCTATATTATATTCCTACCCTTTTAAAATTTTTGTTCACACAGGATTTGTTTTCCATTCAGTTATTTAACATGTGTATACCGATCATACAGTGTGTGACGTCTTACAAGTTAATTAATTCTTGGAGGTGTCTTTCCAGCGGCCCTTTAGAATTCCACAGCCCACTCACTCATCCAATTAGCTACCAGGTCTTCTCTATTCTGACTACTCAGTTTATTTTATATAGATTTATTTCCATGCTCACTGGCACTAATCCCCTTTGAGTCCTCATGTTTATGACTCAGATCATTTTAGCAGGATACCCGGCCTCCTTGCCATCAGTGTCTTGCCCTCTTAATTCATTCCATCACACTGCTGGTGGAGGTATCTTTTAAAAACACTGGCTAGGAGGGTGAGAGGATGGGTAAAATAGGTGAAGGGGTTGGGAGTATACCTATTGTCATGAGCACCAAGCAATGTACAGAACTGCTGAATCATTATGTTGTACACCTGAAACTAATAGAACACTGCAGGTTAAGTATACTTGAATTAAAAATAGGTAGGTAGATAGATAACAACCCTGGCTAGCAGGTTCATTAAAGCCCTTCAGTGACTCACCCATATCCTGCCTCATTCACAGTCCTCTAAGGTGAGCTCTAATTGTAAGGATTTAATCTCATCTCCTTGTACACTTCCCAGCACACTCTATACTCCAGCCACACCACAGTCTTTTCAAATCAGGTTAAGCCTCTAATGTTTTGTTCCTATTTTTCTTCCCCTTCAAAACTGTCTTCTTCACCTCTCTCACCCATCCCACTGGGTCCACAGTCTTTCAGTGTAAACTCAGCCCTTACCTGTCGCTGCTTCCATACCTTCCCCTTCTCTAGGGCAGGGCCTGGCTTGTATTGTTCTTTGTTCTACAGCCTCATACAATGCTGGTACATAGTGTGTCTTCAGTAGATGTAGGGACAAGGAATGTCCCTTGTCAAAGAGGGAAAAGGAGGCAGGAGGAAAGAGATGAAAAAACATGGGAAGAGTGAGACCATGATATTGGCACTTAAAGCCTACACTAAAGACAAATAAAAGAATATTACCAAGCTGAAACTGTATTGAGAGTACTGACAGACATTAGCGTGGAAATGAAAGAAAAAAATAAAGGATGCCCTGCAGTCTGTGTGAACAAATGTGCCATCCACAGAGATTAAGCAGTTAAAGAGAGGACAGCAAGGGAGAAAGATCACACATTTGTTTGAAATGTGATACATTTGATAAGAAAGCAGGATCCAAGTGAAAATCTACAATACCATCTGAAACCCCAAAACCGGAGGCCAGAAGAGATAGTTATAACTAGAAATGTAGATTTTGAAGTCAGAAACCTAAAAGTAAGGTTTTAGCCAAGAAGGAAGATGAATTTTCTAAAGGAGATTCTGAGAAGAGAGAGAGCAAAAGAGAATTGTCAGGGATTCATGGTTAGCACCACTAATGCTCTCCACCTTTCCTTCAACTCCTCTCTAAAAGAAAAAAAAAAATGTCTTGAGTCTGAAATCCTATGGCATTTCAACTAACGTAAGTTCTACATATGACAAGAAATCACTTTGGAAGTACATACCTTAGTAAAATCACCAGTAACTGAATGTTAAATGAAATTAATGTTGTGTTTTATCTGCCTCGTGAGCTCTTATTTATTTATTCAGCACTCAATTTCATATTTGAGTTAATATTTCATAAATTAGCAGAAAATGTACCTAGCAAAGTGCTTTTGAGAAACTTTCCATTCATATAAGCATAAACCTAGTCAGAATTAACTGCTGCTAATACATGTCATCTAAAATTCTCATATCCTCCAGGATGTGTCTTTTCCTTTGGGAGACGCTGGTGTGAATTAATTAATATTCTGCACATCTTTTGAGGACATCTTGAGGATTAGTTTTCTTATATGTATAGCTGCTACTTCCCCTCACCCTTTCTTGTCCGTGTTATTTCTTTGATGATCGAATGTCCTTTAAAAAAGGTTGAAAAATATATGCAAGTATATATAATTTTGGCTATTTTTTCTAGATTTTACTTTTCTCTAATGGAGGGAAGTTTATGAAAAAGACCTTGATTGGCGAAGCCTGTATCTGGCTTGACAAAGTGGATCTCAGAAAAAGAATAGTCAACTGGCACAAACTTTTGGTCAGTCCTACACAAACCCATTGAAGACATGTGTCTGCTCAGGGTATAGAAACTGCTCTAAATAATCTCAAATCAAGACTAGAGTTGGATACTATTCTACAGTGTTTTTAAAGGGGTAAACGTGAGAGGAGGAACAACAGGCAAACACATACTTAAAGCTTTGTGAATTGTTTTGTTGTGGAACACAGAAAAAAACTCAAATGAAAAAAGTTCATATATTGGAGACCAAAAAAAAAAAAAAAAAGAGCTTTGAGTCCTTGGATTGCTTCAAGAAAAAGAGCGAGAGCTATTTTGATTACTTAATGCACAAATCGTTGAGCAGAGTTGAACTATAGTAAAGGCACCAGCTCAAATATTAATACGGTTCCTCATGCAAGACAAAGTTGATCGTTTATGCAAGAGAACCTTGCTTGAAAGGAAAGAAGTGATGTAACAAGTCTCAGTTTTCAGGAGTCTAAAGATCTTTCTTCTTCATCTTCTCTCAGACGACTTACTGTTTTTAGATTCTGACATAGGATACAACTACAGTATGCGTTCAAGACTAGAAGTGAGGTGGTTGTGTTCAGAGGGAAAGGGTACTGGAGATGGAGAAATTATGGCTTTTAGGTTTTCTTTCTGTCTAGATGTTATAAGCGTGAGCATCGCCAACTTTGGAATTCATGTCCTACAAGCACATTTGTATAATATGAAATGATGTAGAGTGAAGATAATACTAAATAGAAATGGAATTACATTTATCTAGAAATAAAGCCATGATTGGCTCGCACTGACTGTTGCCCCACAAAAATATTGGACCCTTGGTTGAAAACATCAAAATTTCCTTAACTGCCCATTAAGCCAATACATTTTCAATGTACATACCAAAGAACATAGATTAAAATGGTATGTTCCAGGAAGCCTGACAAGTTGTTCTTTGTGGAATTGCAAATAAATGTTATTCCACATATTTCCTTTCTCTTGAGTGAGGTATTGAAAGAGAGAAAATTCTTCCTCTGGCAAACAAATTATATTAATCTGTGACATGGATTAATTCACTTGGTGTCATTTCCTGCTCTTCCATAATGCTTTTTTTGTCCTTAGCGCATTAACTGATTGTATGATGAAAACCCTGCCACCAAACTCAAGTTCTTCCTAGTGCTCCATTTTTCTCTGTTAGTGACAATATTGCAGTGATCAAGGTCATCAATATTGCAAAAATAGGTGAAAAGTCAACATTATATTGAGATTATATTAACTTGAGCTATTTTATGAATACGGAATAAAAGGACCAATGTCCAAGTCATTGAAATGAAGCATCCTCTTCTCCATCAACCAACACTATAGACAAAGGAAGTAGAATGGAGTTGTAGGAAATGCACTCAGCTGGGATGAAAACCTTGGCTTTTGTCTTGGTCCTGCCACTGACTAACTGTGTCACCTTGCACATGTCACTTAAAGTCACTTTCCCCCAGTTCCTTATCTGTAGGATAAAAATAATTACATATTCCTACCCTTCCTAATGGGATGTTGGCATGATCAAGCCAAGTGAACTGTGAGGAAAAAAAGAAAGCACATTTCCAGATATAGTTTTATACATAAAGTGAGGAATAATTACTATGCAGCTCTTTATTCTCAAATTTTATATGCAAGAACATCCGCCATACCGATGGTAAACATTGACTTGGATAAGAGTAGTGTATTCACTCCAAAACTAATGGTTTTTCTTTAAAATACGAACTTGCATTGAACCTGAGAAAAGGTGAAGAATTAAATCAAAATGATTTTCAAATCGGGTTATTATAAATGAAATGAATCATACCAATCTTATACTATTCCCATATCCTCTCCCAAAATAAATTGCTCCCCAGAGCATTCTGAGTTTAAAAGCTGCTTCTTCATTCAAAGGTGAGGTTTTAGTAGGTTTCGAGAAATCACCTCCAAATCTGTTGGTTGGATATGGAATTTTCTCACTTTTAAAGAAAAACGTAATTTAAACTTGACAGGAATTGATTAAATGTAAAACATTAAAAATAAAACAATTTCTAATAAATTCCAGGCTATATATCTTTATTACATTCGTAAAGAAATACACATGCACTCTTCCCCAATCCAAGGAAAAAGCAGTTCCTGTCCTTCCCTCTATTTTTTTTACCTGTCCTCCCTGATAATGCAGTGTCCTTCACCACTGATGCTGCTCTACAACAAGCATGAGGGAAGGGATTGCTGGAGACTTGATCCTGCTAGGATTTTATTTTTAGAGACATCTAGATCTGCTGATGGTTGCTATGGATATTTCCAGCAGAAGTGAGCACTTTAGGGAGCTTGTAATCATCACTCATCGTTGGGAAAGGGAAGGCTTCAGAAGATCTCTTTCTGAACAAAAAGGTTCTGCTATTTGCCCTTCAAAGGAAACTCTAGCTCACCTTAGGCCCTCTTCTGCAACCACGTACATCCAGGTGTATGGATGAGAGGTGGTATGACCAGTAAGTTTGACTTTATTCCAGTTGCGATTTCTTTTAGAATAACACAAATGAGGTGCCACCAAAACAAAGATCATCCCTTGGTAGCTATTTGACCTGAAAGGGTAGGAGTCTCTCCATTCTAGGTGCCCCTTTGCTCCGAGGAACCAGTGATGATGGGGCCAGGTCAATCAAGAGAGCTAACGATAGGGCTTCTTTTTGTGCACCAGCATCCCCCTTCAGAGAGCATAAGATCCTGCCACAGTGTGCCAAGTTTGCAGCTGACCAAAATCCTAAGTTGTACGGGAATTATTCTATGCAACACTGATCCTCGGACAAACACATTTCTTCTGAATGATGTCGATTACCCTTCTTACAACAAAGTTGTTTCTTTTTTAATTGCAAATAGGGCTCTTGGTCTTTTTTACTTTTTTGTATATATCACAGCACATAATTTTCCACTTTTTCATTTCTTTTATTTTTTGGAAGCAGTTTTTTTCTTAATCTTACTGATGACAAAGTTTGTAATCTCTAAACAATATGTGATCAGTCCAATTCCAACACCTATATCTCAAAAAGCATCTTAATTTTCCCCACAACTTCACTGAGTCATCAGAAACTGGAGTTGCTTCTTGGTTCAAAATTTGGTCCTAAAGAAACTTCTAGCTGTAGAAGCAAAAGCACAGAGTGAATTTTTACAAAAGATGGGGATTTGCAGAATGGTCATTACAGACGTAGGTAATGGTATAAGCAAGACGTTGGTGTTTCCCCCTGTTTTTACTTAAGATTAAGAAGATATTTGGTGACTCTGAACTCTTTCTTTACCATTTCTGTTGAAAAGAAGAGTATCCAAGACTAAGGAGCAGCGATTGTCTTTGTTCCTTAATGTGCCCATATTGTAACTAACCGTACAAATAAATGCATATTTTCAGCATATCAGTGGAATTAGTTTTGTGGATCACACACATTAAAATAGTCATATTGTGGGAATATTATAGCTGGTAACCAGCTGATATTGATTCTTACTATAGGAATGGTTGTAGCAATAGTGGTGATAGTGGTAGTGACACTAGGTTGGTGGTCATGTGAAGTAAAATAAAATTCTATACTATATTGTGCCCAATTTATTAGAAATTATTTGATTGATGTTTCATTTCATTAAGATATCATAAAGATGTTTATAGTATTTTTTTACTTTATTTAAATCATAACTAACAATATTTTTAAAAACTTATTTTCATTGCTATAATGTCTAATATTCCAAAAGCAGCCAACCACAGCTATATATATGTTTATAACTCTCCATGTGACAGAGCGAGTTTCCGTCTTTTTGAGCTTGACATGGAAGTGAAAGAAAGCTCAATGAATAATTATGAGGCGTCTCTTTAGTAATTACTTGCCTTTGATGTAATACAAAAATGAGTGAGTGAAACAGATATTCTCATTGACTAGGACACATTGATGTTTTCTGTATGTTCCACGTTGTTGTCATAATTAAAGGTACCCATTAAGTCAAAGTCATGTAATCAAATGATTCCTTATCTGATAGGTAGATCGAGAGCATTTTCTTAAATGGTTACCCTGTACATAACTATACATTTGGTAAAATAGACAAAGTTGAAATATTAATTTCATTTGGCATTCAGCATGTGACTATGATTATCGTTTGATTGTGTCCGTATATTTGTTGGTGATGTGCTCAGGTGCTCCCACTACTGATTAATGTGTGTGCTAATATCTTAACAAAAACACATCTGATATTAATGGAAAAAAAATCTTGTCTGAAAAAATAAAAATCTAATAAAATTGATTTCAGAATAAAAAATAAAGTCCTTGGAGATATGTCTTGTTTCTAACTACATGTTGCATGCCGTGTTGGTGATCTGCTAATGTGTTCTTTTCTGTTCTACCCAAATCTCTCTGGAAAAATCTAATGAACGAGTACCAATTCTTGGGCTAAAGGTTGTAGAAATTGAACTGAAATACATGAGAATTGTATTAAAAACGCTTGTAAATCTGTCTTGAGTTTTACTCTACGTAAAGAATGTCTTGGTTTTGTGATTGTATACAAGATGTATCTTGATAGCATATGCGACTGTGCTGTATAAAAAGGCTGTTGCCTCAGCCTTCCTAATAAATATTGAAAATGTCAACTTCGACTTCTTGTGTTTACCAACTTGATAAGTTGATACTTTATTATAGAAATAGAATTTTTCATAACATCTTCTCTGAAAATTATATCATAAATACATTCATTCACCCAGTTCAAAAACTAAATTTTAAACCCAGCACAGAAAACAGAATTAAATAAATGTATAGCTTAATCAATTATTATATGTCAGACACTCTTGTCACCACGACCCAGGTCAAGAAATTAAACTTTGCCAGGCACCTCCTAAGACCTCCATTTTACCCCTCCCTCTCACAACAGCCTCCCAAACCCTAAATGCAACCACCATCCTGATATTTATGATAATTACTTGCTGAGTTACCACTGACATCTGCCTAGTAAACAAATACTCCCATGGTTTTCCTGTTTTATTTTTAAAATGTTTTCTAAGCTTCTTTTAATCTACATATTCTCCT